TATAAAGTTGAAAAACTCATATCAAATCAAAATATGTTAGGTCCAAACATTCAGGGAAAGAAAAATGTCAACAACAAGAAATATCGGGTCAAACTTTTCACCAAAAAAAAAGTTTAAAAAATGTTCATGAAAATGAAGTCACTGAAAAAGTGTTTTGATGTTTTGAGAAAAAGTCAAAATATGTTGTGTGGAAAAAAGTCTAAAAATTATGGAAAATGGTCGGAAAATATTTTAGTTCAAAAGTCAAAATATCATCGAATAATATCATGGATCAAAAAAGTAAAAAAATCTTAGGTCAAAATATGTTTTGAAAAAAACCTTCAGCCGTGAATCAGATACCTGACGAATAATCCTGATTCCTCCTGTTGCTGCTGTCTCACTGACTCCGACTAGTGTTTCCATGGCGATGACGCTTCGCTGCGTCATGAGTAAGCACCACGAGGTGTGTGTCTGTCTGTGTGTCTGTGCGTCTGTGTGTGTGTGTGTGTGTGTCTCACTTAGACGTGCTAAGAATCCAAAGGTGATGCTGCACTCCCAAGCGTCTTCTAACACACACACACACACACTAATCACCCTGCCGCCTCACGTAGATGTGATAATAGCTAATTCATCATTGTGTAGGAATATTCCCTGCGTGTGTTTGTGCGTTTGTGTGTGTGTCTCTTTCCTTTAATGTCAAGTCCAGCGATGCAGATCAGAGCAGACTTACATTCACTGATTAGACAAAGACACACACTCACCGACGACTCTCTCAAACCTCACATGGATGCAAACCACACACACACACACACACACACACACACACACACACAATACAGCCTGAAACACAAAGACCTGCCCAATTAAGAAGACTGATGTAGCGCAACAAATTCAATTATATCTCATTGTATAATTACATGTGACTAAATTAAAGGCAGGAAGGATGGAAGGAAGGAAGGAAGGAGGAGAAGGTCTCAACCTGAACATCATAGCGTGATGGAGGGAGAGGAGAGGAGAGGAGGTTCAAACCAGACCGACGAGGCTGAAAGGGAGGAGCGGCACGCGAGAATCCTCCACCGTTACTGAGTGAGGGATGAAGGAGAGAAGGTGGAGGAAGGAACAGAGGGTTTATGGAGGCGATGAAGGGTGGACGGACGGAGGGGACGACGGTGGAGATAAACGAGAAGACCGAGAGGTGGAATAGAACGTCTGCTGAGAGCATGCCAGAGAGGATTATGGGAAGGAAGGAGAATTAAAGAAAAAATGAATAAACCTGAAGAGAAGGATGAAGAGGAACAGAGGAAGAGGAGGGATTAGGGGGGGGGGGGTGCTCCCCCAGGATGGGTTGTAGCACCGGGAGTTGAGATATTTTCAGTTCAGCCAGCGGTCTCCTCTCCTCGCTGTTGGTTCTATCTTTAGAGCGTTACACAACAAAGGTTCTCATCACCGGCCAACATGGTTCCACTCAGCAAATGAAGATAATGGAAGGTGATGAAGATGATGGAAGGTGATGAAGATGATGGAAGGTGATGAAGATGATGGAAGATAATGGAAGGTGATGAAGATAATGGAAGGTGATGAAGATGATGGTAGGGGATGAAGATGATGGTAGGTGATGAGATGATGGTAGGGGATGAAGATGATGGAAGATAATGGAGGTGATGAAGATAATGGAAGGTGATGAAGATGATGGTAGGGGATGGAAGATAATGGAAGGTGATGAGATAATGGAAGGTGATGAAGATGATGGTAGGTGATGAAGATGGTGGTAGGGGATAAGATGATGGAAGATAATGGAAGGTGATGAAGAAAATGGAAGGTGATGAAGATGATGGTAGGGGATGAAGATATGGAAAGATAATGGAAGGTGATGAAGAAAATGGAAGGTGATGAAGATGATGGTAGGGGATGCCTGAGAATCAGAAGTGTTCAGAAGGTCAATTGGAGACTTTTCGTATTGCTTTTGTCAAATAGCTGCAGATGTTGCAGATGTTGTGCATCTGGATGGAGGTCAAGAAAACCCAGATGAAAGGAGGTGGAGCGAAATATTTAAGAACTGTAACAGAGAAGATTTGGGGGTGGGGGGGTGGAGGCTGATGGAGGGCAGGAGTGATGGAGCGAGAACAGCTGGAGGGCAGAGAGCGTGATGGAGGGAGCTTAAAGAGAGGGAGAAATGGATGGATGAAGTAACGAGGAGAGGGGAGGCACATAGAGAGAGAACTTTCTCCCATTGGAGACTGAGCTGCAACTGAGCTTTAATGCTTAATGTAACATGTTCATGTGGTCATATGTTCATGGTTCATATGTTCATGTTTCATGTGTTCATATGTTCATGTTATCTGTGTTCATTTTCATGTGTTTATGTTTTCATGTGTTCATGTTTCATATGTTCATGTGTTCATGGGTTCATGTGTTCATTTTTCATGTGTTTATGTTTCATGTGTTCATGTTTCATGTGTTCATGTGTTTTGTTTCATGTGTTCATGTTTCATGTTACATATGTTCATTTTCATGTGTTTATGTTTCATGTGTTTATGTTTCATATGTTCATGTGTTCATGTTTCATGTGTTCATGTGTTTATGTTTTCATGTTACATATGTTCTGTTTCATGTGTTCATGTGTTTATGTTTCATCTCTTCATGTTACATATGTTCATGTTTCATGTGTTCATGTGTTTATGTTTCATGTGTTTATGTTTCATATGTTCATGTTTCATGTGTTCATGTGTTTATGTTCATGTGTTCATGTTTCATGTGTTCATAAACAGATTCAGAGAATCTGAGCTGTGATGCTTCATGCAGGGAACAATATTAGTCAATAAGTGACTGAGGAGGTTTGTGTCGCGTGTGGACGGATGACGACCTGCTGCGTTACCGCTGCTGCTGTTGTTGTTGTTGTTGTTGTGGTCACACTCAGTACTCAGAGCAACAATAGGCTTCATGTGAGGTCATCAAGCATTAGAGCCGCAGGTTTAAAGGCACAGTCTCGGTTGTCTCTTTTTGGTCCCCTTGTGTCGCTTTCATCATGTTTCTTCATGCATCCTTTTCTCGTTATCTGTGTCTCTTTTGCTCACTTTACATCTCACAGCGTGTTTGCTTCTCTGTCTTTTTCCCCCCTCTAATCCGTCCACTTCGTCGGGACACAAATCCACGCTTTGTGGATCCACGGGGGGAGACGGCGCCCTCGGCCCTCCTTCACGTATAACAAAACAACAAACCAGGACGCAACATGTCTGCGAATGGACGGCGTGTTGCAAGGAGGTAGACATTGATGTGGGGTCGTTGTGAAGGACATGGACGGGATGACAATTGGGCGGGGGGTAAGGGTGGGTGGGCTGGGTGGGGGGTGCCAGGTCTGCTCAACAGACTGCCACCATTGTTTGTCTGCGGTGAGCGAGGTCCCAACGAGGAGGCTTATTCTGTGACGCCAGCGCGGCGTTAAAGTGATTCATCCACCCGCGTCCTCCCCATCACGGCGGCGTGAGCGGATCCCAATCGGCAGGAAGTGTTTTCCTTTCACAAAGCCGACATAAATGAGCTGAGTCAGCACGTTCGATGCGATGGCGAAGGAGCGACGCGGATTCATCAGATTCATCCCATTATTTTCCACGTTTGCCGTCGTCATCTAGTTAAAAGCATCCAACGGTAAATGGCAGTAAAGTAACTTCTTTGTCAGCGGGAAGTGAAGATTATTCTTTCTACTCTTTTTTTTCTCTTTTCTCTTTTGTTTTAGATCCATTCATAAATCTTCCAGAACATGTGGAGTCATTTTGGCGTCAGTCTAGAGCACATTTAACCACACGATGTGCAATCAAACAGCACCATGATCTGATAAAACCATCCAATCAATAAATAAACTCTGCCTTCTTGGGTGAAATAGTTTAATCAATTAAAGGAATTTCCAGTCCCCCCCGCTGCTCCTCGCCCCTGAAGGTCACCCTGGATGTCAATTCATTCACCGCGAGCGAACGGAGCTAAATTGAAACGGCAAACTGCGGCTGATTACGAGAAGGTCGGACGCGTACAGGATGCTGAGGTCGCGCCTCCTCTTCTTCTGCAGATGAATCCTCCTCGGCAGCAAACGGAAGCGTCTCAAGCGTTCACGCGGCTTTTGGGGGATCTGCTGCCGGTTGGGATGTGATCAGCAGCTCCTTTTCTCTGCCTGCCACCTTCTTCTTCTTCTTCTTCTTCTTCTTCTTCTTCCCCCCCAGCCGGCCCCCGGGGGACTCGCCGCAGTGCGTTCGTGGCCTTTTCGGTGCTTTGGTGGTTGGGAGTTGCTGACTGCGTTGCTTTTAAATACCAGCGGCGGTGGAGTGCGAGCCGGTGACTCAGCGCTCTCATCAGCTCCATCAGCAGCAGCAGGATCTGCCCCTCGGCCGCGTCCCGCAAATGAGCCCAGTTTATTTGCCCCAACGAGTGAAGGTTGATCAGCGGCAGCGAGAGGGAGCAGAGGGGTCTGTCGGGGGAACTTCCCCGAGTGTTTCTTAAGCATTCAAACCAGCAGCGGCAGTAGCTCGCTCTCTCTCTCAGCGACACGCGTGTTATGAAACACAAATGTGGGGCGAATTCGTGACGCAAACCGAGAACAAAGAAAGCAACAGGAGCAGCTTGTGGAGGTCCTCCGCTTCCCGTGGATTCCATGAGTGAATAAAGACGGCGGGGTGAGGCTGATGATGCTCTGCGTGCTGCTCGCCGTGTTAAAAGCACGTGGAGGCGCTGATCCATCACTGGCTCCGCCGTGTTTAAGGCCTTTGTCAAGTTGTCCGGAACCGTGTTTGCCGGCGTCTTTGCTGTGATTCCTTCCAGCTGGACTTTGTTTGTTCTGCGCGGCAGAAACCATCCGGACAAACTGCGCGACGCGGCTTCCGCTGTCGGGCACCGAAACCGACGGGTTGCGGAGATTAACCAGTCTGCGAGATAAGCGCGCTGGTGTAACAGCGCTGCCGTGGGGTCGGTTTTACATTTGACCTCCAAGTCCTCAACGGTGCTCAGCGACTCACTTCTTCCCGTCTTTGTTGCAGACCGGCCCGATGAATCCCATGACGCAGTTGTACTACAAGAAGGTGAGTCGATGGGAAAACACACACCCACAAAGTAAAATGTCCGTCACAGCAGGAACATCCTCAATGTGTCGAGGGTTTAATGTGACGAACAAACATCAGCCTGATTAAACCCTCAAACAAACAGTTTGTGTTCAAACATTTAGTTTCCGCCCCCGTGGCTCCGGGACGCCACGCTGCTGACTCTCTCCTCTTTGCTCTGTTTATTCCTCGTGGGTTTCCGTAGGCGACGTACTCGCCGTACCGCGACCGCATCCCGCTGCAGATCGTGCGGGCGGAGGTGGAGCTGTCAGCGGAGGAGCGGGCGTACCTCACCGCTGTGGAGAAAGGTACAAACGGCGCCCCTCCACGGGCCGCCGAGGGGATGTTAACACCGATGTCTTACTGCCCCCCCCCCAGGTGACTATGCGGGGGTCAAACACGCCCTCCGCGAGGCCGAGGTCTACTACAACATGGACGTGAACTGCCTGGACCCGCTGGGCCGCAGCGCGCTGCTCATCGCCATCGAGAACGAGAACCTGGAGATCATGGAGCTGCTGCTGGACCACGGCATCCACACGGGCGACGCCCTGCTCTACGCCATCCGCAAGGAGGTGGTGGGCGCCGTGGAGCTGCTGCTGTCGCACCGCAGGCCCAGCGGCGAGAAACAGGTAGGGGGGAGAGAGGGAGACGGGGGAGAGAAGAGGTGGGGGGGGGGGATCTTCTCCTGCGTTTCATTCCTGGACCGTCTGATGCTGCGAGGTTGCGCGTCGCCGTGACAACCAGCCCTTGGCTGAAAGCAGAGGATTGTGGGAAGTTCTTTTTTTTTGGACGAGGACGGGAACAAACTGTTTTTACTTTTCTCCTTTCGGCGATTATTTCTCTCTGCTGCATATTTTGTTCATGGTTCTTATTTACGCTGCAGCTACACGTTACGTGGCGAATCATTGGGAAGAATATCTGCTCATTTAAAACGTCGCCAATAGAAGGAACACGACACGCAGTCCTTCATATCTAATTAATAAGTGGACATTGTCTCCACTCAGATACGCCAACAGTTGTTCATGTTAATTAGTGAGGCTGTCATTTTTATCTTGTTCCACATCAGCTGAATGAGACCATTAGCATTTAGGACTTGTTAGATGTGGACATTTAAATGTATAGATGGTTAAAGATGACGTGAGTGTTAATGGAGTCGACATTCCTCGACTGATTTCCAAACACAACTCGGCTAAAAGTGTCCGTAATAACGTGATGTGTTAATATGTGTCTTCATGTTCATGTCTCCATTCCTCCAAGTCAAAGCTTCTCTGATTTGTGGTCACGTGACACGAATCCACTGCGTTCACAATTGGGTGTTTTTATAGGGTGTGTGTGTGCGTGTGTGCGTGTGTGTGTGCGTGTGTGTGTGCGTCTGACTCCCTCTCTCCTTCACCCTCTCACGTCACAGTCCTCCTCCACCCGATAACCAACACCTCCCTCTTCATCTCACCGGAGCACTCTAGAGCGGGAGGGCTGAGGAAGGAAGGAAGGAAGGAAGGAAGCGAGGAAGGAAGGAGTAGCGTAGGCTACTAGAGTCAGAAGGGAGGGAGAGCTGCATGAAGGATGGAGGGAGTACAAGAAGAGAGTGAAGCTGAATGAAAGTAGGGAGGGGAGGTGGAGGGAGAGGAGAGGAAGAAGGAAAGGAGGAGAGAGCGATGGGAACGAGGAAACGCTTTCTCTCCTTATGTTTAATCCTGTGGATCCTCACACCCCAAAATCTAAAATAAAGGAGAAAAAACTAAGATAGGAGGTCAGACGAGGAGAAGGAGAGAGAGGGGGGCAAAGGAAGGAGAGAAGGAGAGAGGGGTAAAGGAAGGAGAGAAGGAGCCGAGGAGAAGGAGAGAGAGGTGTAAAGGAAGGAGAGAAGGAGCCGAGGAGAAGGAGAGAGGTGTAAAGGAAGGAGAGAAGGAGCCGAGGAGAAGGAGAGAGAGGTGTAAAGGAAGGAGAGAAGGAGCCAAGGAGAAGGAGAGAGAGGGGGGTAAAGGAAGGAGAGAAGGAGAGAGAGGGGGGTAAAGGAAGGAGAGAAGGAGCCGAGGAGAAGGAGAGAGGGGTAAAGGAGGGAGAGAAGGAGCTGAGGAGAAGGAGAGAGAGGTGTAAAAGAAGGAGAGAAGGAGCCGAGGAGAAGGAGAGAGGTGTAAAGGGAGGAGAGAAGGAGCTGAGGAGAAGGAGAGAGAGGTGTAAAGGAAGGAGAGAAGGAGCCGAGGAGAAAGAGAGAGAGGTTTTAAGGAAGGAGAGAAGGAGAGAGAGGGGGGTAAAGGAGGGAGAGAAGGAGCCGAGGAGAAGGAGAGAGAGGTGTAAAGGAAGGAGAGAAGGAGCCGAGGAGAAGGAGAGAGAGGGGTAAAGGAAGGAGAGAAGGAGCCAAGGAGAAGGAGAGAGAGGGGGGTAAAGGAAGGAGAGAAGGAGAGAGGGGTAAAGGAAGGAGAGAAGGAGCCGAGGAGAA